TGTGCAGGAACGTAACTCTCAGTTGTTACGTTCATAGATTTTAAATTTTGTCAGAATATAGATTTTCACTTCCCATAGGGTAAGTTATAGTAGCGGACCAAAAATCAAAACTGAATTTTTTTGGCATATCTTCAGATTCAGAAGTTTCTGAACATTTTGGTATACCTCAGAAAAAATCAATATGTGTGTGTGTGTGTGTGTGTGTGCGGAGCCAATTTTTTCTCGACGATTTTGGGTGTATGGATGAACCGATTTGAAAAATGCAAAGAGCAATCGATTCCTATTGGTAGGGAGATGTGCTGATTAGTTTTTGGTAAAGTTAGGTTCAGCCGTTCCGAAAAGAAAGTGTCAAAATCAGCGGTTTTTGAGAGAACTAGCATATGATTTGAAAGATACCTAAGAGTCCGATTTCGAGGAAAGAATTTTTTTTTTATTTTAATTTCCAAAATTTTTTTTTTTTTTGAATATCGAAAAAGATATTTTATTCAATTAATATTTTGTAGTCAAAAATTTATATATCTGAAGGAAATTTGTAGGTGTATGTATTATTTTTTTCACATTGGATATTAACGATAAACATTTTTATATGGTTTAATTCTCTATTTATTTAATTTGATATTAATTTTGTATATTTGCGACGTATGCTTTTTATTGCTATAATCACGGGAACGTAACCTAGTTTTCTAAAGCGGACATACCATTCTTCTAAATTTGATTGAACTACTTTTCATAATATTCTTATATTTTAAGAGCTTCTTTTTGACTATCAACCCTATCACCATGCAAAGTTACATCAAAATCCCAGACTGGTAAACCTGAGATTCTCCTTGTAAGGTCTGATGTAAACTTTCTCTTATTTTATCACAGTCTTTGTTCTTTAATTTTAATAATTCGACAGCCAATGTATTACATAACCACAAGATTTTTTTCTTAAATATTTTATTATAAAAACGATTATCATGACTTTTTTCCAAATTAAAACCCTTACCAGATGCCCCCAGCGCTATTTCTAACAGCGAGGATGCTCAGAGGTCGCCCACGGCGCTCGCCTTGAACGAAATGGAAACAAAAGACACACTCATCAGACTGCACGGTGAGGAAGACTTAAAACAGATAACGAATTATTTTAACGGCGAGTTCGATTACACTCGTTTTAACAATAACAATAACAATAACATTAGTAACAGTAGTAGAAAACATTCTTTAGACTGCATGGCATCACTAACCAACCATCAACTGCAATCGAGTTCGGATGACACAGCATCGGTAAGCAGTGTCGGCACCGCACGAGACAAAAATAAATCCAACTTTTTGGCCACTTTTAAAGCCTCGAGCGAACGAAATTTGTCCGGGTGCGATAAGATTAATGTTATTTATTTTAGTCAGCAACTTAACACGTTGCCCGAATGCGTATTCGAGAATAATAAATCGAGTTTGGCAAATTCTGGTGCTGTTGGCAAACCTCCGAAGCCGTTACCGCGAAAACTTTTGAAGAACCAGGAATGCATCGCGAAGAATCCAAAAATCTGTTCTGATGAAAATCTTGGTTCGGACACAGAGTTAGCCGATGTGAAAACTGGGAGCATAATTTTTGAAGATGCTGATAAAAAGTCTAGTAACGACATTGAACAAGGCTTTTTGTTGACCAGTTTTGATAAAGCCAGTATTATAACAAACGACAGTGATTCAGATTCGTTTGAACCTATTTCAGAAGTGGGATTGAGAATAAATACTTCATATTCTAGCAGAAGATACAAAAATATTCGTGGTGATGACTTTGATGATAAAAAATCATCATCAGAGGATAGTTCTGTTGAAGCAAAAATATCTACCTGTGAAATTACACTAGAGAACACATCAACAGACAAGTGTGATTCCCAACAAACCATTGAGAAAACTCTACATTTCGGCAACGACTCTAACGATAAAAACAAAGATTTTGTAAACGAACCATTACCAAAAAGTGGTGCATCTAAACCATTTGACGAAATCAAATCGAGATCTTCGGTTTTCGACATTGATGAAAAAATGTCACCAGCTAGTATTAAGAGAGTTTTGAAAAATGCCTTTCTGACTTCGGAAAAAAAGTTCGAAAAGAACGCAACCAATTCTGAAATGACAAAAAATAGCTCGAAATACGATGATAGTAAGTGTGAAACTTTGGATATTCGATTTTCACGTTCGATGTTGTCAAGTGTTTGTCGAAGCGGCAAGAAATTTGCTTTTGTTGTTTTGGTTTTGTCTCGTGTCAGTGATTGTTTTTAGATCCATGATTTTTTAAATGTTTCTCTTGATGTTGGAGTCAATTGTTCAAATTTAGTAATTATTATTAACAAACGAATCTAACTAATATTTTTTTATTCAAGCTAATTAAAATTTTTATTGAGCTTGGAAACAACTATATATATATATATTGTTCTTGAATTAATTTAAACATTATTTTGATAATTGCGACTTGTTTTTGAAAAAGTGTAATATGATTATTTGTTGAACAATTGATCTCGAAATATTTTTTATTATAAAGCTTTTTATACTAACGACCATTGCTGTTTTAATTTGATACTAATGTAATTTTTGAACTTAATACTAAATAAAATTCTACTTCAAACAGAGAAAAATATAAAGTACATTCTATACTATTTTTTTCTTGGTGTTTTTGTTTAATTATTAATTCAGATCAATATCAATAAGATTTTTAAAAGATTCTAGAATTTGCAAAAAAATGCACTTATTACCCAAATTTTTTTCATCTTTTTTTCCAAAGATTTTAGTTTGATGTTAGTACTAAATTGGAACAGCAATTTATGTAATTCTTGTATGCGCATCTGCTTGTTTAAATAGCTTTTGCTTATTTTATTTAATTTTAGATTTTGAATACAGGTCCTAGATAAATAATTATTTATATTTAATTATAAAAATGTATTTTTTACATTATTATAAATTCTTTATAAATATATGATTTTTGTGTTGTTTGGGTAAAATAAAAACTGATATATCATAGTTCAAATAGTATATAGTAATTCAACAAGTTTCAATTCATTGTGTAAAAATTATCATAAAAAGCTATTCATTAGTTTTAAACATATTACAACAGAGTTATTGTTTTTAATTGTATATTGATTTTAGATGGAAGATTATTATTATCATTAATATTGATTTTCATCTTTGCTTTGAGGCATATTATTTTTCTGACCATACTTCTTATACTAACATATAATTTGATCAGTTTTAGATTAAATAATAATGGTTCATATTGATTTATAAATACTTGGAATGATGCAATTTTGCAAACATTATTATGAATTATTTGAATACTTACCTAGATTATATTTTAATTTGATATGTCTGTTTTGCAGTTACTAAATCCAATCTCGGAAATACAGCTGACGTCATTCAAAAGCCACCATATGCCAGACAGGTTAGTTATTTAAATCAAATAATAATCAATTTAAATCAATTAGTTATTGATTAATTATTATAAATATTCATACATGAATAATAGAAAGTAAACTTAAAATGGAACTTTCAGAATTACTAATAGATTGACTGTTTCTTTTATTCTTTATTATATACTTGCAGTAACATATTTATAAGTTGTGGAGTTTTTTTCCATAGGATTCTCGTGTATCTGTCAAATGTTTAATCGAAGACATAGAAAAGCAAGCTGCACAAAAATTACCAACGAAACATTTGTCAAGTGTTGACAAAACTAGTTCAGCCAACAGTTCGACTGGCAGCTTAAACAGTTTATCAAATGTGCAGCAGTCGACAAATGACATCATCAGTACTCTTAGTCCTACTAATAATCGAGATGCCAATTGGGCTGATACCATGTTTGAACAAAATACACAGGTAGAGAAAATTATATTCAAGTTTGTAAACCTTGCATTATTTGGCTTATTATATTATATATATTATGTGAATAGATGTAATCTTTTACCAACTATATACCTAAAATTAATTAACTTTTTATTCTCTTACTATTTCTTTGTATTTACTACTATTCTTTATATAAGTTGATAAATACAAATCTATTTTTATTCTAGGCTTTCTGTTAATCTCTACATCTTTTGTACTGCATAAATCTTTTTTATTTATTTATAAAAATATGTATTACAAGATCACCCTTATATTTTTAGAGTGGACATGGATATGTCAAAAATCCATTACGAGAACAATCTCAGCAAAACAAATACCAATATTTGTCTAAAACCACACCTGTTACTCCTAAAACATCAATGAAACTGTACAACACACATCCTGGTAAGTTTCAGCATTCTTATTGTATATTGCAATAATCTATATTAAATTAATAAGTATATTGTAAATAATCTTTTTATCCAATGTTATTTTCAGATGTGGTAGCGGGAGGTCCCACATATGCTTATTTGAAAAGCAATTACAAATCAACTCATGGCAAAACCGCAGATGAACAGAAAATTTCAGATTACACCAGGAGAAGCAGCCATGGAGATCAAGGTAAGACATTTATTGATTGATTTCTTTCATATTTGGTTAAGGCTAATTTACATTCACAATCATCATATTATGGCCTATAAGAAACATGCACATGTGTTGTGCATTCAAATACACAAAGTTTTTACTTTGTTTATAAATTATTCAGAATATTTTTGTCATGAGATTTCAACTGATTTATGCTGATATTTTTAGTACACTAAGAACTATTTTTGAAATTAGTAATAGAAAAATCTTCAAAATTACTATTATTGAATTTTTTTATTAGATCGTTATGGGAATAATTAGGCTTTTGAAAAAAATACATCAAATTGTAATTTGTTCATTTTTCTTTGCGATTTTATTGCTATTTTGTAACTTGTTCTAATCATCGTCATTCTAATGAGAAGCGATTAATTTCTCTTGCTTTTTGTTGCACTTGCTTTCCTTTGTGTGCGTGCTTTATTTTATATTGGTGAAAGTTAAAGAACTTTCAAGACCATGATTTGTCTCATAAATATTGAGTGGAAAATATGTTTAATACTATTGATATGGTGTCAAACTTTGTGCCAAAAAGTTATCATTCATAACATGTTTTCTGCATGTTTTCGTAATTTGATGTTAAATTGTATTATTAAATTCTTGGAGGGCGTAACATCAAGTAAAAAAGACAACTTAATGACTTTTAAAACATCTCTATTATTCCATACATTTCGGCGTAAAATTCTACGTCATCATCAGTGCCTTTTTCGGACAAACAATTCTGGTTTTTCAATTTATATTTAATTTTCAAAACTCTTATTTGCAACTCCTACTCTCCACATCTGGTAAAATCCGTTACAAACAACAGCCTCACTATCATAAAGAACAGAATTACCAATCCAAATCCCAATGTTTTTTCCATGAAGAATAATGATTTTGAATGTACTATTCACATAACTTACGTTAAAGAGCTTTATCTCACGTGGAAAAAGTTTTTTATAAGGCTAATATACTAGTATTTTGTAATATACTCATTTCAAATCTAAAGCCTGCTACTAGTTTAGAACAAAAATCAAATGTGGTATAAGATTGCTTGCAATAATTGTGGTTCTTCTTACATCGGTGAAACGAAACAAAATTTTCATCAAGCGTTTAAAACAGCATGATAATAACACAAAACAAAAATCAAGGGTTATCATCAGGGAACACATAAAACTTATCAATCATACTTTTAATTTCTATGACGCAAGGGTTTTATACCACGAATTGGGTATACTACAAAGACACTTTGCAGAAACTTAGGCTGTATTTAAATAAATCTATGTTAATATATACATGTAATATCATTAATTCTCATCTATTTCACACAATCATTTACCCAAAAACCCTTAGTAGCCGAACACCGCGATCCTCTGAACGCCCTCTACGCGAACGGGGGCTCCAAAAGGAACGCCCTCTTGAAGTGGTGCCAGGAACGCACTGCTGGATACCGGAACATTGATATAACCAACTTCTCTTCGTCGTGGAACGACGGCATGGCCCTCTGCGCCCTGCTTCATACTTACATACCAGACCGGATACCCTACGGAACGCTGGTGCCGAACGAGAAGCGACGCAACTTCAGCTTGGCCTTCGCGGCGGCCGAGAGCGTCGGCATCCCGACCAGCCTGGTGAGAATGGATTCATAATTGTGCATGGTAGTTTAGGAACGGTCCTGCATGGATTTTGTAGTAATAGATTGAAGGATAGTGGTTAATTTGATTCATAACAATATTTACAGTAGTAAGCTTACGAAACCTAGGGCGGTAATTCTTGGATAAAAAATGTTATGTTACGGGGATATAATCGTATGAGTTGATAGTAACGAACTGTCTAAATGTATTTGCTGTGCGATCAGGCGTTTTGCACATAAAACCTAACCTCCAAAAGTCTAACAACAATTTTATCATAAGTGCAACTTTCTGATGTCACTTTGATAACACATACGTGAAATCTAACCAATGTTTTTATTTGTCATTTTTATTAGTTTTGTTAGTTTAAACTTTAGAACGGTAACCGTTATTTTTTTAACTCGATTTTTTAAGGGGAAGCCTGCTTTAGAGGCTTCAAAAAATCGCTTTTTTGAGTGAGTTTTAGGGAAGGAAATAAATAATTTCCTTTCTTCAAAGTTGAATGATTTTAGAAACTTTAAATTTTCAGTTCAACAAAAATGCTTAATTCTTGAAAACTTGGGGAATTGTGTTATTATTTTTGACTGTGGTTCTAGAAATGTTTACAACGGTTTCGGTTCCTAAGTTTAAATGAACAAAATTAGTAAAAAATAACCAAAATAACCGAAAAATTTACCAAATCTCTAAGTAGCACTTAAGGGGGACTTCTATCATAGATAAATGTCTTCTACCTTGTGGCCTCTTTTTGATACTGTTTTTTGAAAATCGTAGTAATATAATTTGCGAGGGGGGTTTATGGGGAATCGAATGCGCTACCTCCATTGTGACGGATTTAAAAGACAGACAGACCTCCTCGGAGGTTGTTACATTTCTTAATGAAAATTTTTAACCCTCGAGTAGGGTCTTAGATTGCAGGAACCCAGTAAACACCGGGGGGCACCGAGCTGCGGTAGCAATCTGAAATCCACATAGATTCCACATGCATGTTACAGCGCTGAAGGCAAGCTTGTGGATTTCAGGTTGCTACCACCGCTCAAATCACACGGTGTTTACTGGGAACCCTAGTAGAGGTGGGTGGGGGATGCCTTTTGCACTGAGGGTTGTTTAATCCTTCGGCGACAATGCCTATTGTCGTTACAATATTTTGTCGACCAGTTGCAAAAACACAACTTTTGGGAAATCGGAAAGATATTAATGCATGGATAATCGCAAAATCGGAAAAATATTAATGCTTGGATCTTGGAAGAAAAGTTACTTACAATCAATCTCCAATGCCTGGACCATGAAGTACCCTTTTAATATTATATTTGTAGTACCTTTTGGGCCACAAAAGCACAAAATAAAAAAATCGATTTTTTTGAACCAACAAGGTAGAAGACAGACCCTCTTGAAAGCTCATAATTTCCTTATAAAATTCTATGACATTTTTTTCACTACATTTTAAGGTAACTACTATCTCCTCGTTTTGGCTTGACTGTAAGTTCTGGAACACCCTGTATATATTATTATCTGTGTACCGTTTGCTTATTCTTTTACTTTTTAGTTGATGTCCAAGGTTGCTTATTTTGGCTTCCGATGTTTCATTTTGTAGCTTTGCACGTTTTCCAATTATTTCATTACATCATAAATCACTTTTTAAATAATAATTATTAAATTTTTATAATAATATTAATTTTCGCAGAATATTAACGACATGATACAATTGGAACGACCGGATTGGCATCAAGTAATGGCGTATGTGATCGCGATCTACAAACATTTCGAAGTTTAACATATATTATTGATTGTATTACTAGATTTTTAGTTGTTAATGATTACTATGTGATGAAGTCGACGATAAAGAAAATAATAATTATTTTTTGTATATATGCATATAATATCGAGAATCGTTTATTATCAAATAATAGTTTGAGTAATTTAAAAGTTGTGATTTGGGCGATCAAATTATTATTTTAAATGAACAGGGTGTTAACAAATATCAATCAATATCGTGTACTTAAACCTCAATTTTGAATCAATTTTTAATATGTTTTATGAAAGAGGTTCATATCAAGAACAGTCATAAAACTATAATTTTTTATCAATCGTATTTTTATAATTCGATTTACTATGAAATGCATTTTGGACTATTATTATATGGCTGTTCTAGAATTTTTGTACTTCATCATCGATGATCGTACCTGTTTATTTAAAAACCATTTGTCAAACAAAATCATTGTACATAACATTCTTTTTAGTATCTAGTCATAAATTTATCCTTTAGATTTATCTAAATTTAATCATTCTTAAGATTAATCTGAATTATTCTAAGGCATATATATATTGAGATATAACACATGAATTTTTCAATTTTGTAATAATATACAAATAATTCTTACGATTTTTGCAATACATATTTTTATACTCTATATATAAATATATATATTTACTTATAATCTTTGTACGATTTTATAAGCGAAAGACTGCTTCTTAGATGTAGTAAAAATAAAATTTTCCTTATCATATCATTGGAAAATCATTTAGGAACCAATATGAAAAAAGATTTCTACGTATGTAGGATTTTTATGCCAGTCGGCTTTTTTTGTAAATCGCTTTTAAACGAGAAATTATAATAAAGTTCTGAAAAAAATGAGTTTTTTAATTCAATTTTTTATTAAACTTCCTGAAGTAGAAGTTGATGTTTTCTGCGGAAAATCTGTCTTGTTAATTTTATGTGTCTTCGACGTTTCAAGTCATTCTGAACCGTTTGACCGCAAATTTTAGAAAATTATGTGTGTGTATATATGTAAGCCGAAATTTGACCTTTCGTCTGCGTTTTCTCAAAGACGACTGAACCGATTTCAGAAAATAATAAAAATCATAAAAACGATTTAGCTTATTTATCGATCGAGCCGTTTTCTTATAATTCAATTCTATTAAATAAGTGCCAAATTTTTTATTGACGTTTTAGCCAAAAATGCTGAACAGATTTTTAAAATTTCTGAAAGTGTTTAAAATTCTGTCAGTTCTGTTGGGAATCGTGGTGATCAAATTTTGGTAAAGATCGGCTAGAACGTTTTTTCGTTATTAATTGTTGGATTTTTTTGACGATTTGTTGACCTTAGTAAGCAAAAAGTGATTTAATTATAAAAAATTATCAACGTTGGAAATAATGGAACACGTTGAAATTTCAAAATTCCGTCATGACATGTTGAAAAGTTAGTAAATAATAATTCCCTGTGACCAAGTCAATTGTTTGTACATATCAGAAAGTTTTTGCAACTTGTCTTAAGGCAAAATACCACTTACAACGCATGTAGTTTGTTTTCATATGAAATGAAAGGTAAAGTTTTCATTTATTAAAAACATAAATTATTCCAAAATGTTCTAATAATTTCCAGTAATTGTACCTGGTTATTTCCTTAATAAACCTCATTCAACTATGAAACATGCTTATTGATTTTGTTTTATTTTCATATTTTTTACGTTGATTTTGAATCTGTCAAAAAGAGTTGTCAAGTTGATTAATATACAATTTGTAATATTAAATTTGATCACATTTTATTTATTTATGGTTTATTAATTGAATGAAAATATTGAGTTTTATTACAGGAATATATTTTGCTGTTTTTCTAGTGGTCATTTATTTAATCAAAATTTACAGGTAAGGTAACTACTTGCATGTCACTTGATTATAAAATAGCATGATTTGTGAATTGGGTGCAAAAAATCTAAAAGGAAAAAAATAATTTTAAATTAAAATTATTAATAGGGTCGGTTCTTGAATTGTACTCCGTTGCATTGCAAATTGGTGGAAAGAATGAAAGAAATCAAAAATGGTGCCACCAGGATATTAAAAATGTGTCTTTTAGAGTATATCAAATCGTCTCCAGTTCAAAACTATCGCCAAAAATATATATCTCGTTCTTCATCGCATTTATTTTATTCACTAAGATTTTAAATTGTGTAATTTTTCCCAGTAAATGCCGTGTCATGTGAGCGGCGGTAGCCATCTGAAATCCACTAGCGTGGCTTCAGCCCTGTGACACCCATGTGGAATTTATGTGGCTTTCAGATTGCTACCGCCGCTCGGTGTTTACTGGGTGGTTATTCAAGCGTATGTTCATATAAATAAATATGACATTTAAATCACGGACCTGGAGCCATTTTCTTATCTATGTCTGGAGCTTCCTCGTGGCTTTGAGATTCGATACCTCTGACAAACTGATGTCAAGCAACAGTGACATCGGTTTCCAATTGGGTATATAGATAGCAGCATGTTTGCAAGAGAGAATAACCTTTATCCGGCATCATTGCATCCGATGAAGTCTTCAAAATTAGAGCTATTGCAATAATAAATTTATCAAAACAAAGTCCAACCACGTTATTATAGGGCTACGTCATTAGGAAGTCACATCAAGTTTATAGCACAATTATGGGGGTATTCTTGTCTAGAGACATGAATTTTATGCGATTTTTGAAAGGCCTACGGACAAGTTAAAAAAATGTTTCATCACAAATTGGCGACTGTTTGAAAAAGCGTAGTTCATGGCGAAGAGAAGTCTATAAAGTAGACTGTGTAAAAATTGAAGTAAATCGGTATCAGTAGAAGTAGAGAAATCGTGGGTATCGTATCGTAGGGAAACAGTGGAATATTGTCGTAATCAAACAGTTATATCTCTGAAAATCTTTTTTTTTTTTAATTCTAGACCAGATACTCTAGAACTGAAGGAGGTATTTGGTCTAGAATAAATGCGTAAGGGGTCTGGTATGAGGGTAAATGCGCAACTCATTGCATTGTAAATATTATTAATATTTAGTTCTTGTGGTAGTATAGCTGATGCCCTCACCTGCCGGTTGTTGAGTGCCACATGCTCCTGGCAAGATGTCACTTGTGGCGATCGCTTGGATGCCGTCACTGTTCCAAGTGTCTAAGTCATGTCCGAGAGTAGTTCCGTGACATTGCGCTCATCGAATCTGCTATCGACATCACAAACAGAATCGTTCTACGTACATGGACCCGACCAATACGATCAGAATTTTCAGGTAAAATTCGAGGAAATATCCAATTGACCAATATTTACCCAAAGGCAGTGTCCATTGTATTTATTTTAATCAGTAATGTTTGCAAAAGTTGACAATGCCTGAAGAAAGTTATCAGCCTTATGCGCTTTTTACCAAAGCCAATGTGGCCAAATTAAACGCCTCATATTTTTTTGGATGTTTCTTTTTCCTTGCAGACGACAATATTTACTCCTACAGTTAGTAGAAAGAAAGCGTTCAGATATTCGTTAAGTTCGAAGTTTGATTACGAAAAATTACAAAAAGAAATAAATAAATTGATTAAATACTGTGGAATTGAAGAAAAGCCTTTCATAAGTGAAGGAGGCTCCAGGCTGGTTCTCACAGAGGTCAAGTTTTTACCGGCGATTAGAATTTTGGGTAGGTAGATAAGATAATTCTATATTGCTGTGATTATTGATGTGATCATTTAGTTTTGAATAAAATTATATTTTCCACCATGCAATTGTTGTAAATTAATTTATTTTTAAAGAAGGTGGAACATGCGAAATATCACACTTTTTTATATATTCACTGTACTCCTTTTGTTCTAAAATTTATCGCATTTTGAATGTCTATCACAACTATATTATATAACTGAAACTATTACAAATTATTACGTTGATCCTTTCCACTCGGCTGTCCTTTTGAGGGGACAACGTAGGTAGCATATCTCTCGGCTGACTCTTCCGAGGCATTTGACAATTTTCATACACATTGACTCAGTTCGTATTGAAGCGCCGAATAGAATAGATCAGGTATGAGCAATTCAAAAACTTACAGCAGCTACGCTTTCGTCAGAATGCGGCGCCAAGTTGCTAGTAAATAACGAGCGAACTGATGCCGAGTGGAAAGGGTCAAATTCACTTATTATTTATGAATAAACTTCTGCGATAAATAACGTACATTTACAGTATGTGCCAACCATCACATAATAAATTACGTGTAACCAAGTATATTCTTATTTTCGTGGTCAGTATCAGTGTTTTTCTGTACTTTATTAAGATTATTAAATTTAATTCCTTTAGAGAGAATTGTGTATCGTACAGAGAATTCGGTGCTCCAACGGTGTCCAGTGGACAAATTGATAATGTGTTGCCTGGCACTATCGAAAGAGGCCTACGAATCCGTCAAGGTCTTCTCGAATGTGACACCTGTGCATCTCAGGAGAGTACGAATAGCCGAGATGAATTATTTTAGGTAAATAATTCTATGTGATTTTATTCTGTTAATTGTCCAATGATGTCCAGTTTACATCTTTTTTTTTCTTAAGAGATTACTATTTCCAACTATTAAATCGATATTTATCTTTAGTATCCAGAAATAGTATGGCAGTCTCACCAAAGACTAAAGAATTGTGCTTGACCAATAATCAATAATCAATAGTCAGCAAGTAGGGTCTCTAAAAGTTTAACTATATTGCGACCACAAATCGAATGCCTACTTATGCTACAACTTACACATTTTTATAAAAAAAGAACATTATTTTTTTTATTTACTTTTTATTTCTATTTATAAATATTAAGTTGTATCAAATAGCCTTTGAAACACTTATTCTTTCTACATTTGTGTTAAATAACGTCGAGAAAACATAAAATTAGCGAACAGACCTTTTGGTGCACATTTGGTGCGAGCAGATCTTAAGAAAATACATCTAAAATTTGTATGAGGAATTTACCAAGATGCCCTTGTAATAGGTCAAAGTTGCTCAATTTATCCTAATGAATTAGTTGTTTAACTCCAGGGTAGTGTGGCTTCTGACCCCCGAAAAAACTGATGTGATAACATCAACTCTCATCTGCTACTTGACGGATTGGCATCTCTGGGACGCCAGCATGCTCTGCATGGGAGTTATGCGACGTCTGATACTATGCCACGTGGCACTGGACACTGTGCTGTCGTCGCTTTTGTCACTGGTGAAGAATTTTATTAGGAATTCAACGGAACCAGAAGCTGAAGTACAAGGCAGGTGCGTTCTGAGGGTGCTGCACGAAATGCTCAAGCACGGAGCGCCGAGGTGCTCCATGTCGGGTAAGAATAAACGGATGAATATAAGTTAATTGAAATTTGAATTATTATGTTCATGACTGGGATTAATAACTAGAAGTATTTCATTTTTAACCGATTCAAGACACCCTAAGTGCTTGATTTTGAAAAAAGTATTCAAACATTAAGTAAAACATAATAAGCAAGTTGTATGAGGAAAGTTAATAATAAATACCGATTGATTTTTATGTGTAGCTGTCCATACTGTTATCATTTATTATTTTTCCTAGGTATGGTTAACCTAACCGAGAACATCCTGGAGTTGTTGTACGAATCAGTTTGCGCAGATTCTACCAACGCTGCTACAAAAAACTTAAAAATGCTTCAAAGAGGATTAGAGGTCTGTGCGAGGAGAGCAATGGAACGGTTCGATGATGACACACTTCTGGATATAATTAGGTAAAAAGTATATATTCCTATTCATTAACAAAACAGAACAACACTGTCTTATTAATTTTATCCTTAGATTAATGTTGGACAGATTAGACACAGGTTTAAACGACATGCAAATCATGGACTATGGTGGTGTTTTGGAATACGCTGTTTTGTTATACAGGTTAGTAAGTTGAAAAATTGACTTTTTGTTGTTAACATTTGTATTTGGTTCATATTTTTCGGATTGCAGTTTGGAACATTGTTTTATATCTAAATAGAAAAACTCATATCCCAGTAAACACCGTGTGATTTGAGCGGCGGTAGCAACCTGAAATCCACAAGCTTGCCTTCAGCGATGTGACATGCATATGGAATCTATGTGGATTTCAGATTGCTACCGCCGATCGGTGCCCCCCGGTGTTTACTGGAATGGATATCAGTACAAAGCCATACACCATACACCACTAGTTATTTTATTAATTTGTAAACAATATATTTATATAATATTATTATTATATTATATATTTCAGAACTGGTTTATTTTCTAAAACTCTACATTACGAATTACTAACTCCCATTCTTGATATTGATGTCATCGCATAATAGAGTTATCAGTTTGATAGCCTGCAGGTTTGTTGAGTTCAAATTTTATTTAAAAATATTAATAACCAGTTAATGTTGTTGACGAGTTTACTTGTCATGGAGAAGTGGCAGGAATTTGTGTACTAACGAATCTTTAACTGTTTTATTTTGAATTCAATGTGACATTTTTTATCATATTATGGTCTGATATTAATTGTATTTTATATCACTTCTCAGGATATTGCAACGATTCCTGGACAGGCACAATAATCTTTTGTCATTCATTTCACCTGAGTTATATTTGGAAAATCTCACATTCAACATAGTCGTGGGATCGTTCCGATCGGCCGATAAAGTTTTTCTACTGGAATACAGGGAGCAACTTCATGAAACGCTATTGAAAATTGTTAGACATCACGGGCAGTATCAGGTTAAAAATAAATTAAGTGCCCTATAAACTCTAAGAATTATTTTATAATATAATTGAAGTTGATATATGATAGGTCAATCTGGAAAGTGTTAACACAATTCTATCCCTCCTTGTGGTTGAAATTCCATGCGGTTTTACAGCCGCATTTGTGGTCTGTTTGGCTATGGATATACAGGTAATTATAAATAGCAAATGGGTAATAATTTTTTTTTAAAACCAAACATAATTCTTGGTTTAAAAGTTGTTTGGAAATTGATTTCGAAACGAAATTCTCGATTCATTGGAAAAACGGAAAACGGTAAACGAATAGTTTAGATCAGGACTTCTCAAACTTTTGTTATTTGCGACCCCATTCACAAGTGGCTATCCCCCTTCCCGAAATTTGTAAGAATTGAATTATTGAATCGAAATTGAAATTTAGACATTTTTTAGATAAAATTTCAACTGTTCATTTCAAAAATAAATTTACCGCTTTCAATTAAATCTAAACTCATATGTAATATTTTAGTATGATCTAGAAGACTATGGTATCTACCGTCAAAAAAAATCATAAAAATCGTCGAAAAATTGTTTTTTAACACATTATTACAAGAAAACGGCACGGCCGATCTTTACCAAAAACTAATCAGCACGATTCGTAACCAATATCTTTCGAACAGTTTTTGAACTTTCAAAATCGATACAGAATTGGGCTAAAACGTGAACGAAATTTTTTTCACTTCTCTGGTATTCACATAGAAACGGCTCGGCCGATCTTCACACAACGCTAGTCCTCGTCGAAAACATAAACTTCTCCTTCGGGAAGTCCTGGTTTAGATGGTCACTATCGCAAGTTGGTGTTTGCCAGTTCGCCAGAATTGAAATTTTGCAAAACAAATTCGAGTTTTGCAGTTTGACTCCTAATTTTAACTCGTGTTCAGTGGTGAAAATACATTGGAAAACAAATATCATATACTGCCTTAAGTGTGAAACACATTGCAAAAAACAATAAAATTATTTCTGAGAATGTGTATGATCAACTAAATTGCATTAAATATTCTATTCAATTGTATTAATTCAATTTTATTTTCTTTTTTATTTTTAGGCTGAAGCAAATCTTCTGCCCGAAAGCAAACTCGTTGAGATGTCCTGGCGGCACGCGACCGTGGTAGGCGTCATATCCTTGGTATGCTGGACGCACCACGCCGTAACATTGTACAAATATGTCGAATCTATAATATCAAGAAGAGGCAGACAGGCCCCTCATCTAAATCCGCCTCTGAAATTAAAATATGCGGTCGCTTCCCATCATGTTTTATGGCAGAAACCAGATCTGTATTTTGAAGCATGGGAGCTCAGGTACGCGCTCTGGAAACATTTCCGTTGCAAAAGTATGGTTGGACACGACAGCGATGAAGAATGATGGATGAATAGTATTTGATTATTGTTGGTCATTATTGTCTGAATATAAGCAGCAGTCATTGCAGTTAGATATGGTCTCTAAGGTCCGGTTCTAAATGAATGCCCAATTTGCAGTTGTCATCACCACACATGCATCTATGTTCTTCATCGTAGATCTTCATTGTCAGGTGATTTTGGAATTTTTTAAGCTTTTTACTTGCCAATTAGCTAATAGATAGGCCAATTCGCGGATAATATAATTCTGACTCTTTGATTGAATAATGGAATGAGTTTAGTAGTTACGATTTGTCAAGGAGCTGATTTTGTTCTTCGATCCAAATCGATAAAAGCTCCAAATGGCACGATTCCAAGAGTTCAACAAATTGTTGAACTTATGATCACATTGTTATTTGGCATTTGTGCTATTTGGAGAACTGCTAAAGTTTACCAACATTTTTGTTGAGATATTTTCTTGTGATGTGATGCTAGAATAGTATCAAATGCTCAGAACGTCGTTAACAATTCAAATATTAATAATGATTATATGACTAATCTTGAATAATATTTTTAACTTCCCGAAGGAGAAGTTTATGTTTTCATAAAAAATCCGATTCGCTAATTTTATGTTTTCTCGACGTTTCAAGCCATTCTGAATCGAATGAGACCAAATTTGGAAAAAGTATGTGTGTGTGTACGCGTGTATGTGAACAGATTTTTTCCGTAAATCGATGTTTCTCAAAAACGGCTGGACCGATTTCATAAATTAAAATCCATTCGATGTATCGCGATGAGGACTATCGTTTATCAATTTTGCGCGACAATCAGCCAAGCCGTTTCTCTGTAAATAGCAGAAAAGTGAAAAATTGTTCGTTCACGTTTTAGCACGCAATTCTGAATCGATTTTGAAAATTCAAAAACCGTTCGAAAGATATTGGTTGGAAATCGTGCTGATTAGTTTTTGGTAAAGGTCGGCCGGCTCGTTTTTTTTAATATCGGTCGGATACCATACATGGTCTTATAGATCATACTAAAATTTGCGGCTCTACGACAAGTCGTTTAATTTTAAAAATTCGTCGAAGTTTGCAAAAATTAGTATCGTTTTTTGGCATTTGTCAAAATTAGAACTTACTAAAGTATTACGGCCCTACGACAAGTAGTTTAATTTTAAAAGTTTATCAAAGTTAAGAAAATGAGTAGTTTTTTTGACGTTTGTTAAAATTAAAATTAGACTATATATGTACTTGGTATAACGATAGAGTACTTGGTCTTAATGAACATACTAAACCATTCAAGTCCTACTGAAACTGGTTCAATTATAAAAATGATTGATTTCTGAAAATTTGCTTATAGAAAATACTCCGAGTTAACGTGTTCGTTCGTTTTCAATTATGTGTAGTAAACCACTCGAAATACTTTAATCACTAATAAATTAATTTATTTTTTATTGATTAAGTCGATTATTTACCCATGTCGGGAAGTTCATGTAACTTGCCTCAAGGCAAAAAACCAATACCAACTATTTTTTATTTATTTTGATTCACTAATGTTTAATTTTATTATTTCATTTAGTTTGATTTCTGCAATAATCATGGAGAACATTGGTTGAATAAAGTTCAATCACGGACCGAAATCAAATTTATATAAAATTGGAATTACAAATTTCCAACTATTCAACAAATTTTAGGAAAATTTGTGATTATGAAACTAAAATGATCAGGACGATTATGTGAGAACGATTACTCGAATGCGATATGATATGTGATGTAGAATGATATCGAATTTAGATTTGTTTTGAAATGAGCATTTTATATAAGACATGAAAATAGATAATTAAGTTTGAAATGATATGCTGTGATTAGGTTAATGTATATATTTATAATTATAATTGAATTTGTGTTTGTAAAAATAATTTTATACTTTTTTGCAATATATAGAGTTTAAATGAAATATAGAAAAATTGTAAAGATCATATCAGCTTTTGATTTCGATGTTATAATCTAATTAGATTATATTTTTTAAATTTAAAAAAAAAAACTATTGATTTTATCATTTATCACAAATAATGTTAAATAATTATTTATTAGTTTATGAATAATCAATAATAAAATTTTTAATTTTATTTAAAAAATAAAAATATTGGAAAATTTTAGTTTAGAATAATAAAAGCAAAATCAATATTTGCTTATAAATGATGACAAAGAGTTGAAAATTGATATATAAGAATATTTTAAAGAAAACTGAAATTAAATGGATTAGATAGATGTAAAAATAACTAGTGGTGTATGTTTAGTAGTTAACCATTGTAATATTCTATCAACTATCTAAGTCGTTTTCAAGCACTACCAAACCACAGGATTTTTAAATGCCTTAAGGGCACAAATAGTGTAATCTCCTAAAAGTGATTTTTGGGAATTTATAATAAAAAAACTACTTTATCAATCATTCAAAATTTTAGGAATATATTTAGACATGTTTTAAGAATACATAGTAAAATTTTTGAAAAAAAAAAAATATTTTTTAAGTTATCGTCGATCTCCAATGGCGCGACAAAAAAAAAGGCCCTTTACTGCTTCAGTGATTCCGGCCTTCTACGTGGATGAAATTAAAAAAAAATCTCGTTAAACTAGATAATATTGTCTGTTAAATGAACTACAATGTAGAAAAACAAACAAAAATTGACAAAATGGCTGCGTTTTTTAAAATAAAGTCGAATTTTACCCAAAATTTTGGTCGTTTTTGGACTGCCAAAGTTCGATTTTTGATCCGATCAAAAAATCGATAGTTCATTTTACGGAGAACTATATATAGAGCATGTAAAAAATTGATAGTTATCTGATTGTTTGTTTTTGAGTAATCGCTGCAGCAAATTTGGAAAATGCTGTTTCGAGAAAATCGCGTTTAAAGATAAAATGATCGTTATACTATGTACTATATATATACTCTTTAAATGGCTGTGACTCAAAAACTATTTAAGATATCGATTTAAAATTTTGATATGTTATTTTTAAAGGTATAACCTATCGAAATGGTAAAATTGAAAATTTGTTTTTTTGAAAATTTCACACTAGTGTGCCCTTAAACGTTTAAAATATGTCTAGAAAAATTAAAAGGTATCGGGAAATAGTATAAAAAAATGTCTATCTCCCCTGAATTTTCTAAATTTTTACAGAGAGAAGTACAAAAACATCATTTTGAAAACCTTTACGAAGATAAGCCAATTGTATTATATAGGGTCGCCAAATAACTTTATTTTTTTTTTACAAACTACTGAATATTTTCTAAAATTTCTTTTTCTATTTGAAAGTACAATCCTTTCAGTTAATAATGAATTAATTCAGTTTTATATTTAATTCAAAAAAAATGAAAATGAAAATGAAAAATATTAGATGGCATACCC